CAGCATATTACCCTTGAGGTGCATCTATGTTGTACATATCAATAGTTTTTTCCTTTTTATTAGTGAGTATTATTCCATGGTATGGATATAGCACAGTTTGTTTAGCCATTTGCCTATTAAAGGACATTTTGTTTGTTTCCACTTTTTGGCTGTTACAAATAAAGATATCCTTTTTCGTGAAATTTCTCATCACATAAAGCATTTTGCCTTTTGTCTTAAGTATGATCTTAACTAGGTTTTTGCTTGATGTCCTTTATTTATTTGAGCAAGTTCTCCTCATTCCTTGCTTTCTATGAGTTTTTTTTTTTAATCATGAATTTTTTCTGCATCAATGAATAGGATCATGATATTTTTTCTTTTGTAACTTGTGAATGTGATAGCTTACATTAATTTTTTTTTTTTTTTTTGCGGTACACGGGCCTCGCACTGTTGTGGCCTCTCCCGTTGCGGAGCCCAGGCTCCGAACACGCAGGCTCAGTGCCATGGCTCATGGGCCCAGCCGCTCCGCGGCATGTGGGATCTTCCCGGACCGGGGCACGAACCCGTGTCCGCTGCATCGGAAGGCAGACTCTCAACCACTGTGCCACCAGGGAAGCCCTACATTGATTTTTAATATTCAACCAGCCTTGCATTCTAGCAATAAACCTCATTTGGTCAGAGTGTATAATTCTTTTTATATATTGCTGAATTATATTTGCTAATATTCTGTTAAGGATTTATGTGTCTGTATTTATGAGGGAGTTGGTCTGCATTTTTCTTGTTTGCCATTTTCTTTTTTGTTTTCTGTTTGTTCCGTTTTTTATTTTTGCTTTCTTTTTCTTGCCTTTCTATAGGTTATTTGAACTTTTTAAAAACAATTGCATTTTGATTCATCTGTAGTGTTTTTGAGTGTATTTCTTTGCAAAGATTTTTTTCTAGTGGTTGCTCTAAGTACTATATTACATATGTATAACATCACATCCTGCTGATGTTGATATTTTACTAGTTAGATGTAGAAACTTACATACTTTAAGTTCTTTTATCTTTCCCTGTTTATAAGGTAATTATCTTAAATATTTCTTCTATGTATGTTGAAAGGCATATCAGACAATGTATACTTTTTGCTTCAAACATCAACATAATTTAGAAAACTGAAGAGGAGGAGGAAAGCCTATTGTATTCACCCATATTTTTACTTCCCATGTTCTTTATTCCTTCTTGATATTTTCAGGTTCCTTCTTTTTTTGTTTCAATTCAGGGTTGACATTTCTTTTATTTCAGCAATTGAAAAATATTGTGCCATTTCTTTCTGGCCTCCAAGGTTTCTGATGAGAAATTTTATCACTGTCATTGGAATTGTCTTCCCCCTTTAGATCAGTTGTTGTTTCTTTCTTGCCTCTTTCAAAACAGTTTGTCTTTAGTTTTTAGGTTGATTATGATGTGTCTTGGCACAGCTTTCTTTGTGTAATTCTTGTTTGGGGGCTTATGTAGTTTCTTGAATCAGTAGGCTTGCATGTTTTGCAAATCTGGGAAATTTTCAGTCATTATTTCTTCAAATACATTTTCTGACCCCATCTTTCTCCTCTCCTGGAACTACAATGACATGAATCTTTTATTATTTTAATTATATATTATAATCCCTGAAGTCCCTGAGGCTCTGTTTATTTTATTATTTAGTCTATTTTCTCTCTGTTTTTCAGATTGGGTAATTTCTGTTCTATTTTCAAGTACATTGTTGTTCCTCTGTCCTTTCCATTCTGTTCTTGAACCCATCCATTTGCTTTTAAAATTTCAGTCATTTTTCAAAAAGTTCTAAAATTTCCATTTTGTTCTTTTTGTCTTCTGTTTCTTGTTCTAGAACTGGAAAGTTCAGCAGTACATTTTTGACTGCTACTAAAGGAAAAACATTATCTTAGTTCTGCCCTTTGAAGCTATATAAAAGAAGAATACTAGGTGATAAGTATTATTATCTAAATATTAGCAGTCCTGATAGTTCAGGACTACTTTCTATATATTTTCTATATGTTCTGATTACCTTATTTAATTCTTACAGTAACACTAATATTTACTCATGTAAGAAATGTTTACTGAGGGCCTACTGTATGTGACTTTTTTTGTTTGTTTGATATTTTTGCTTTAGCTTCAAATGGTCAGACAGCTGATTTCTTATTTATGTACAGAGGGAAAAACTACATTTCCGCAATTTTGGTAGTTTGCAGGCATACGGGAGAAGAGAGATTGCAAGCTGAAGTCTCACATCTTCACATAAACCAGCCAAAAATTTCATTTATAGTCTCCATATTATACTTAATCCAATTCAGAGATTTATCAATACTTTGTTGTGGAACAGTGGTGTATTTCGAAAGAGTTATAGGTTTTCTGAGATACAGATATGCTCAGGGTTTTGGGTAGCCATAAAATCTTAATTGTCATTTGTGCAGTGAAAAGGATTGGGAAGCACTTCTCTAGTTAACAGGTTGAAGAATGTTTTTTTTCCCCTACAAATTGAACTTTGCGTATGTTAATAGCACAGCTTCATCATCCTTCACAAATAAACTTCTGTGAATATACTAAAAACTATTGAATTGTACACTTTAAATGGGTGAGTTTTATGGTATGTGAATTATATCTCAATAAAGTTAAAAAAAAAAAGAATTGTCTCCTGTTCTTCTCAAACAGTGAGATCATAATCAACTGGTGGGCTTGTTAAACCAAATTTCTAGGCCTCACCTATGGAATTCCTGATTAAGTCTAGGTGGTACCCAAGAATCTGCATTTCTAACAAGTTCCCAGGTGCTATTGATTATGCTGTTTTAGGGATTTTGTGAAGCATTCATCTACACAGAATTTTCCTACTTCCTCATTTTCCTTTGACTCTTCAGTTACTTCAGTCTGATTTTAATTTCATCATTCTACCCAGAGTGCTTTTTCTAACATCCTTCCTGATATTAATGTTGCCAAATCAAATGCATAATTTTCAGTTCCTTATCTTAGGTGATGTATAGAAATAATTCTGTAGTTGATTTTCCCTCCTGTTTAAGAAGCTCTCTTTCTCTTTGGTCTGGAGACCTCCATCTTTCTCCCTCCTTTCTTCTTTTCTATCTCTGCATGCTCTCAGTCTCTCTCTCTCATCTCAAATCAAACTCTGTTAGAATTCAATCTGGGTCCTCTTCATATCTTACTTTACTCTCTGTTTGTCCTTCTTAACACTCTTATTTCTACCTCCAAAACATCTCTCAGTTCCCTTTCTTACCATGTCTATTACCATCACCTATGTTCAAGCCATAATCACCTGTTGCATGAGTTATTGCAACTGTCTTTTTTTTTTTTAATAGATTTATTTATTTATTTTTGGCTGCATTGGGTCTTTGTTGCTGTTTGCAGGCTTTCTCTAGTTGCAGCAAGCGGGGGCTACTCTTCATTGCGGTGCGTGGGCTTCTCATTGCGGTGGCTTCTCTTCTCGCGGAGCACGGGCTCTAGGTGCGCGGGCTCAGTAGTTGTGGCGCATGGGCTTAGTTGCCTCGCGACATGTGGGATATTCCCAGAACAGGGCTTGAACCCATGTCCCCTGCATTCGCAGGCGGATTCTTAACCACTACACCACCAGGGAAGTCCCGCAACTGTCTTTTAACTCATGGTGTCTTCCAACCCAACCTCTCTTTAGTATTTAGATTCATCTTTTAAAAATGTAAATTAGTTCATGTATCTTGCTTAAAATCCTTCAGTGAATGAAATTTATAATGTTTAAGATGGTATAAGAAGCCCTCTCTAAACTGGTCTATGTTGCCTCCCCAGTCTCGTATAGCACCATATTCTCCCTCAGTCTTTTTGGTTCAGACACATTGGCGTTCCATCAGTCTTTTTACAGTACCATCTTGTTACTTCTTCCTGGAATGCTCTTTCCTATGCTTTTCATCTGCCTTTATCTTTACCTGTCTTTTAAGTCACATATTTCAGTTCTCATCTTAAACATCACTTTTTTTAGAGGTGTTTACTGACCCCCAAATCTAAATTAGATGTTATTATACTCTTTCAATGTTTTGTACTCTCCTATATGACACTGATGAATTGTATATTGCATGTATCTCCATTCTGCTGCATGTCTCATTGTTTTACCCCTTATGCTAGACTTAGCACAATGTATAGCAAATGGAAGGTGTTTACTAAATATTTTTAAATAAATGAAAGTATGAATAGAGCTTAAAAAGACATGTGCACATATAGATAAAAAAATTCTTTTTCAAAGGTAAGGCAAATAAGGAGCACATAAGTTTGGGAAATGGATATTCATTCTTAGCTGCCAATTACATAAATTGTCCGAAAAAATTATTTTTAAAGAAAATTTATTTTTTAGGAGAATGCAATTTCTGAAAAAAACTTGAAAAATTGTTTCAAAGTAATATTAAGTAATTCAAGATATTTACGGAAAGTTTATTTCTACTCATAGAAATTGAGTGAAACTGTTTTGTCATTTTCATATAATCTTTTGTGTAACCAATTCTTTTTTTTAATCACTCAAAATTTTTAGGCGGTTTCAGCATTATAAGGAATATCATACTACCTTCCAGAAACAACCTTTAAGCACTTCACTTTTCGTTGTAGTGGTTATTAGCAAACCACTGTTTAATTTTTAAAATGTTCCTTAATCTTTGGAGAAAAAACTCATGTCTATATGCCAGCATGAAAAAAATAGCACAAGTAACAGACCTAGCTGAAAGTCTTTTTCTTTTTCAGAATATATAATTTTTTTCATTTCTATTCCTGTTTATTATTAGCCTTTTCTCCTTGCAGCACTTTTGTCCTGTAGGATCTGTCTAGAGTACATAAACTATATATTCTGTATTCTATAAATTTTAGTCATTTGAAATCTTAGCTTTCTCTTGGTTAATATAGTGAGTGCTACAGACAAAGTTCTTAAAACCGGAGAGGATCACACAGTTTAAAATGTTTATTATGTCTTTCTCTGTCCTTTCTTTTGCCGTCTCCTTTACTTCCCTCTTTCGTCTGTCTGACTCTCACAGGAGACATGGATTACAACTGGTTGGACCATACGTCTTGGCATAGCAGTGAGGCATCCCCAATGTCTTTGGTGAGACATGTGGAGCCTTACTTTTTAATTTCCGTTATCATTTCACTTTTCCTTTTTGATTTACACCTTTGCATGTTTTCTTTTTTGTTTTTTTTGTTTTTTTTGTTTTTTAATCCCACACCTGTAGGGGACAGTCAAAAGGGAAAAAGAAAAACTAGTGAGCAGGCAGTTTTGTCGGACTCTAACACCAGGTCTGAGAGACAAAAGAAAATGATGTACTTTGGTGGCCACTCTTTGGAAGAGGATTTGGAATGGTCTGAGCCTCAGATTAAGGACTCTGGGGTAGATACGTGTAGTAGCACAACCCTTAACGAGGAGCATAGCCATAGTGATAAGGTACTGAGATTGTGGAGCCTGCCTTTTAACCTGCTCATTTGGTCTTCGTTTGCTCTCTGTCACTCATTCAAACAGAACATAATAAAAAGACAGGGCATTTCAAGGGTCAATGTAGCATTTCTTAAGGTGCAGAAAAGAAAAACAAAACCAAAACAAACTAACCAACCAAAATACTTCTTGCTTGCTTTGCTGTTTTTGTTTTTTGACAGCATACCAAAAAATAAGTAATTGAAAATAAAAATTAGGAACAAAGGAATGTTTTGTTTATGGTCGCATGAAAGAACTTTGTAATGTTATTATATACCACAAATATAAAGAATTTTTTTGGATTGGCTTATTTGATTGCTTGCATATATTTTCCTTGGGATGAAAATTAAATTATTAACAGTTTGAATCCCAGGCAAAAGGGAGATGATTGGGTCTGTTTGCACAGAAAAAGTTGTTTTTCTTTTTTCCCTTTCACTGTCATTTTGCTCTTTTGTTTTATTGTCATAGCATTTTAGTGTAGTATTAATTAGTATTAGAACCATTGCCATCTGCTTTCGTATTTATTATTTTGCTTTTACTATAGTGAGACTTTTGAAATCTTTTTACCATATAGATGTGATTTACTGGAACTTGTCTTTTGCCTGCTAAATTTTGCATGAAGATGTGCATGTTACTTTCAGATAACTGTGAAACTGTGATTACACAAATCATTCACTTTGTTATTTGATATATGATTCATAATGGAATGGTATCATGATTTATAAAAGACTTGGTTCTGCCCTGAGATAAACTACTAATATTTTCAACGTTGTTTAACAATGGATACCATTGAATTTTCAAATAAAATTAATTTGCTAAATAGATCAGAGACCTGAAAGAATCAAGGACCCTCCAAAAAGAAATATAATCTATCATCACCTTTGAATTAGGCCTATTTCTCCCATGCACGTTCATTTGGAAAGTTACTGGAGCTTGTGTATTTTTAATAATTTTAATCTAGAAACCTACTTCAAGAAAGCCCTCATCAAAGGTTAAAATTCATGTTTTAATATAGTGTGACCTTTTAACTTTTACTGTAATAAAGTCTTTCAAAGTCTTCCAAAAGTGTTTGAAGATTAAATTCTCATTTTTAAATGAGTTCGATTGCATAGAATTGCAGTCTCTTTTCTGCTTGTGGATTTTTAATCTTCAGTATGTAGATAATTAGAGTTTGCATGTGTTTTCAAGCTTTCTCAGATTTTGTAGAACTATAGAACTTCAGTATTGTGTCAGAGCACTGTTAGAATTTGCAGTAACTGGATTTTGAAAAAACTTGAGATTATTAAAATGAGGTTATAAACATAATCTAGTAAACCCTTTTGATCAATGTTTTGAATAAAAACTGGTTTGTGTAATCATAACACTTTGGAAGTTGGAAGTTTAGAGAGATTGCACACTAAGGGGTCATTTATCATAAAATAACATTAATTTTGTGTTTATTGATGCAATATGTCAGCACCCTGTGACGTGGCAGCCATCTAAAGACGGAGATCGTTTAATTGGTCGCATTTTATTAAATAAGCGTTTAAAAGATGGAAGTGTACCTCGAGATTCAGGAACAATGCTTGGCTTGAAGGTATGTGATGAAATATATGAGATGTTGCTCTATACTCATTTATAGATTTATCAGAAAAGCAAAAGATATAATAACACTATACCAATTTAGTGGGTTTTTTTCTATTTTCAAGAATTCCTAAATATTTGCACTCATTATCCAAAACCTTTTCATTTTCCAAGTACTATTTAAGAAGTTTCCATTATTCTACAATAACACTTATTTATATAATTTTGGAAAATAGAACTTGAGTTACATACTTGAGTTCTTCAAACTTATTTTGCCTGTAGTTTGTCCTTTAAGTCTATATATGTGTTTATATTCTTTTAAAATGATAGCTTCGTTCAATTATTAAATGTACAACCTTGGGAAATACATATATGTATTACATATTACATAGGAATATAATTTTTGTATTACAGTAGCAAAATGTGTGTGCGTTTGTGTGTATTTGTGTGTGTGTGTGTGAGAGAGAGAATGCTGTTTGAAGTCTGGAAATTCAAAAATACTTATGTTAGGAGATTTAATATAAATATTGATTTATATTTTACTGTAAAATACCAGATAATTATTTGGTAAGTACACCAAAGAAAGCTCTGTTTATTTTTTGTGCATCTATAAGGTGAATTAAAAACTGAAATGCGAAGAGGGTAAATGTTTTAGAGTTGAGCCATTGCTACAGAAGTAGTTGTGTAGATTCCAGTAAGTGAGAGATATTTGAAAACTTTGGTTGTAAATGAAATTGAGCATCACTTATTGGCTGGTTGCCATGCAGTTGGCACTCATCTGAGCACTTTATATCTATCATTTTATTAACACTCACAACAGATAAGAAGTAAGCTTAGAGAGGTGTCATAACCTGCCCATGGTCTTAAAGATGGTGATGAAGGTGAGAATTAAATCCAGATCTGCCCAGTATACTGTTAGAGAAGCGTAGTATAGAGGTTGAAAAGTCTTGGCTTGATTTCTAGTTATAGCATTACTAGCTACATGACGTTAGGCAACTAAACCTCTCAGCCTCAGACTCCTCATCTGTACAATGGAGATAATAATACTTACTGAATTATTATCTAATAAGACTAAATAAAGCAGTATACAAACATTTAGTACAGTGCCTAGCTAGCACTCTGAGATTTCAATAATAATATAATCAGTATAATTATTATTATTAAAGTTTATCAAGCCAAGAAACTTTAAAAATATTAACACAGGGGGGCTTCCCTGGTGGCACAGTGGTTGAGAGTCTGCCTGCCGATGCAGGGGACACGGGTTCGTGCCCCGGTCTGGGAGGATCCCACATGCCGCGGAGCGGCTGTGCCCCTGAGCCATGGCCGCTGGGCCTGCGCGTCCGGAGCCTGTGCTCCGCAACGGGAGAGGCCACAACAGTGAGAGGCCCGCGTACCGCAAAAAAACAAAAACAAAACAAAAGACAAAACAAAAAAAATATTAACAGAGGGATTTCAGCCCATAATATCTATATATATAATTTTCAGAACCAAACATAGGAATAATGGGTTAATATTAACTTAACTGCAACTGAGTGTAATTCACTGCAACTGGGGACTAAATACACGGAATAAGATAAATCAATGATTTTTGAATTCTGTATTGTTCAGTTAATTTAGAAGAGTAAGAAAACTATTCTAGTCAATGAAGTTGGTTACTATTATTTGCTTAAAGTTGATATATTGATTGAATGGCAGTTAATGAGAATCAGAGCATTAATTTTTAAGAGGCCAGTCTTATAGCTACACATATGATTTCACAGCATTATTGCTAACCTTTGTTTTTTCTTTTTCTGAAAGATAATGTATTAATAGAAATGTAAAAGCAGAAAAATTGAGATGCAGATGATCTAAAGTTTATATTAATTCTGATGAGATTAAGTATATTTTGTAACTTTCTCAGGAAAAATGCATCATCATGATCATCATGCACATTATCAATATGCCCAAATATTACCAACTAATAAAAATTTTAGAAGATATGATAATATAGTAAAAGTAACAAAATATATATTATGATATTTGACATCTATAACTAGAAATGTTAATATAATTATGTAATACTGTAATAAGTTTTTAGAAATGACAAAAGTAAGAATTCTGTAATAAAGGCAAAAATTATAAATTGTTAAGTTGTTTCTAAGGTATGAATCATTTTCAACAAATAATTGATTAAATTGTTAAACATTTGGAATATGTAGAGTCCACACTTGGGACATGTACTCAGTTCCTATTAGTAACACTATATTAGTTTAAAATTATTTTTAGCATATTAAACTATAGGGTCAAAACCTACAAATTGTCTAGTTATTTTTTACTTGAATCTTCAGCTTTGTTCATTTGAACAATATGCTTGTTTTAACATTTTCTTCTTTTAAACAGGTTGTAGGAGGAAAGATGACTGAATCAGGTCGGCTCTGTGCATTTATTACCAAAGTTAAAAAAGGAAGTTTAGCTGATACTGTAGGACATCTTAGACCAGGTAGGTTTCAATCTTTGATTATTTACATTTAAACTGTTAAACTTGAGTAGTTATGAAAAAGTTATCCTCATTTAGAAGTGACTTCGCTGATAATAAAAAGTTCATTTAACTTATATTAATCTTTATTCATTAATGGAAAGTTGTAGCTACTAGTTCTTGAGTCACATTAGATAAAAATATTTTTATATTTACTGATCTTATTTTTTTGCTGATGGATATTCCTAGTCTGTATCTAGGATTAGATTAACCTAATTTGTTTCCCATAAGCCTTCCTAATTCTTTTGAAGAACTTCCAATATAATTTAGGAAACAAACTTCATGGATAAATACACATTTCCTGAAATGTGTCACTCCTTATCTCTTTGATAATGGATACTATTGAAGAGATCCTTGAGTGCCTTGGAGAGGATTCAGTAAGATGCTTAGTATTAAGCTTTTTACAAAAGAGTTTAGACAAGGTGCTCAGCTGCATGTATATTGAGAATCCTAGAATACAGAGTTATAAAATTTTCAAAGAGGCAACTTATCTTAATAGTTTCTAGAATTGGAATTTCTATTGAGAAATCACAGAGACAAGAGTGATGTCACCAAGTTGGAGACATAGGTTGTTCCCAACTTGCTTCCCCTTGCAAGAAACACAACTAACAACTATTCAGGGACAAGACATCATTGAGAAAATTCTAGAAATCACAGAAACAACTTTTATGTAATCTTTTCCTCTGACCCTTCCTTGTCCTTTTGTGTGAAATACACTAATCATCCTGGTCATCAAATTTTATGCCACTGGAGCTGTTCTCAGTATGTTTCTTATTCCATAAAGGAATTTTGTTCTACAAAATTAATCGCAGTTTGAGACGGCTTTTGTTTCGAGTGCATTTTATGGGATTAGTTTTTCTAAGATTATCATTACTGACACACACTGTAGGTGATGAAGTATTAGAATGGAATGGAAGACTATTGCAAGGAGCCACATTTGAAGAAGTATATAACATCATCCTGGAATCCAAACCTGAGCCACAAGTGGAGCTTGTTGTTTCAAGGCCTATTGGGTGAGTTGGTTTGAATACTTTATACATGTATAAAGTTGACTACTATTAAATAATTTGTAATGTGCAATCCAATAATGTCTGATTGCTTTATAAAACTAAATTATTTTGAGGACAATGCTTTTTTCTCCTTTACTAAAAATACCTCACCAAAAATCATGACATCTTTTTATCTGATCATGCTAGAATATACAGTTAATTACAAAAGAAGAAGGGATATTTAGGTGTATTATTTTTATTATCTTAGTAGCTCAGGAAATGGATAAAAGGATTAGTGGAAGGGGACTGTAGTAACAATTACTTTCAAAAGAAGTTTCATAAGCTATGGTTCTCTCCATTGTAAATATGAGAATCAACTATAGTCTATGAATTTTATATATTTTTTCCAAAATGGAGATTTCATATAAAAAAGAGAGGGCTTAAGGACATTCTATTCCTAGATGGTGGCAACTGTTTAAGGAAAAACAACATCTTTAAGGTAACATAAAAATAAGCAAATGTCGGGCTTCCCTGGTGGCGCAGTGGTTGACAGTCCGCCTGCCGATGCAGGGGACACGGGTTCGTGCCCCAGTCCGGGAAGATCCCACATGCCGTGGAGCGGCCGGGCCCATGAGCCATGGCCACTGAGCCTGCGCGTCTGGAGCCTGTGCTCCGCAACGGGAGAGGCCACAACAGTGAGAGGCCCGCGTACCGCAAACAAACAAACAAAAAGCAAATGTCAATTACTCTTTGACTTTTTAAGTTGCAGTTAAATATAATCCTTTGTACTATGTTCCTTTCAAAAGTAATGAATCTGTCACATGAAATTATATCTATTTTTTGTTTTGTCTTTTCATAGTTTTGTAATGTGGTAAAGCTGTACTGTATCAGCTTACGGTATTAATCAAATATATTTCTTAGTGTTAAAGGATGCTGTAATCATATTTTTGTTTAATGTCTTAAATATTTTTGATGCAGTTTTCTGAATGAGCTTAACCATTAATATATACCCCTCCTGGCAAATCTCAAACAAAAATGTACATACTTTTGGTATAAATACAGTTACAAGGTAATTATGTTAAGTCCAATAAGAAACATGTTTGCATTTTTTTCAGTAGAATTATTATGTTTAAAAAATTTCAGTGACAATCTGAATATTTTAACTTTTGTTTTGGTGGTATTTTATTTGAATTTCAATGTTCTGATTTGAACAACAGCAGGTAAAAGAGTAGAATATAATTAAAATATATCTATAAAACTTACCCTGTTGAATATAGAAATTTTTTAGAATGGATAATTGTGTAGTGAAGCACATAGGAAATAAAGTATATATTTTTACAAATCTGCTCTAAATGCTTATGAGTTTTAATTCCTTTTAAGTAGTAGGGTTAGCCCAGAACACTTTTATTAGCAAAAAGTACTATGACTTATTTTTTTCCTTATTTATATAGTGCTGCTATAATACACAATTTTGTCCATTTTACATTGTCCTATTATAATATAGTTTGATAATGATCAAAATAGCAGTTGCTACTATTTGTTGAAACAATTTCTTGTTTTTTTCTTTTTCTGTCATTTCAGAGATATACCTAGAATACCTGATAGCACACACGCACAACTGGAGTCCAGTAAGTTTCAGTTATTTTAGAAGAAAATGTTATTAATAAAGTCGTTCATTATCAGGGGTCAAATGAAGTCTTTAATCTATTAATACAAAGTAAGAAATATAATAGTGTTGTTATCAAGTATGCAGTCATATAAAGATGGAAAATTTAGTATTATTTCATGTTATTGTGGAGAAAAGTATAAAAGTCTATAATATTTTAAGTTGTTTTTTTTAAACCACACTGTCTTAACTACTATGTATTTTTAAATAGCCTTATTAAGATATACTACTATAAACTGAATGTATTTAAAGTGCACAGTTAGGTAAGCTTTGATATACATGTGAATCCATTATCATAATAAAAAATAATGAACATATCATCACTCCCCAGAATTTCACTCCCTCCCCAAATTTCACCTAATTTTAAAATTTACTACTTTGTAAACCAATCCTCAGTAAATGAAGGGAATGCTTGGGACAATCTAGTGAATAATTACATATATTCTAATTTATATTTTGAGAAAATGGGGTAATAGTTCTGATTTAACAGAGTGGTAATGGAGCAATAGACATATAAGTTAAAATAACATTAAGTATTTAGACACTTTTTATTACTTGTGTTTGAGTACTATTTCAGATACTAAGCAAATGAATTTTTTCCAATGAATTAAGTTTGTTGGTTGATTGAGAGTAAGGCATGTTGTGAAAGAAGAAGGAGGAGGGTTGCAGTTTGAAATACATTGATCAGGATAGACATTGAGAAGGAAGAATTGGAGCAAGATTTGAAAGAGTGGCAGTCTGAGGGAAAAGCTCTCCAGGAACAGGGACCAGAGGTTCAATGTCTCTAAGGCAGGAAAGCCCACGTTGCATTTAAGAAGAAGCAAAAAGGTTGTTGTGGCTGCAAGAGTGAACAAGGGGAAGAATGGCAAACCAATGGGAAGCCAAACTGCATAGGTTTTATAAGGCACTGTAAAGACTTTGACTTTTACTCTAAGGGAAATCAAAAGCTACATAGGATGTTTTTGAGGAGAAACTTACGTTTTAAAATCATGCTACTATGTTGAAAATAGATTAAATGGAGCGAAAGCAGAGAGACCAGTGAGAAGACTATTTCAGTATTTGGTGAGATTATGGTAATTTAGACCGTGGTGGGTGCAGTGAAGATGGTGAGAAGTGGTTGGATTGTCTATACACACAACAATTGAGAATGTACTGTTAAAGTAGATGTTATTTTTTTTTTACATTGTATTACAATTTTGAGTATACATTTAAAAAAAATCTTTACCAGAGAGGTGAAATCCTTTTAGAATGGCATAGCTCTAAACTTTAAAATATGATTGTATGACCTATTTGATTTAGTACTTTTGGCTAGCTGCTAAATCATTTTATCCAAAATAATATCGTGATCACATAAAACTATAAGTACTAACATAATGATAATAATTATTATGTATAATAATATCATCATCATAAGTGCCTGGAACTGTGCTAGATGTTGTACGTACACTATCCCACTTAGTTTTCACAGCAATCTATGAAGTAGGTAAAATTTTCATTCACTTATGTTATATCACTCAGATATTGTGTGAGCAGTGTGGAATCCTTTATCTTACTATAGCTATTTGAAAAGCCTCTAGGCTACATTTCCAAAGTTGTTCCTGTAAGGACAGGGGTCCTTTCTCAAATTAGATTCAATTATTTATGCTTTAAAAGTTGAAGAATAGCTTTCTCCAAGGCCCAATTCTTAACCTTCTGTTTTTAGTTCCTCAGTAAATTTTTCTCTTCATATGGTTTTAATTGCCATATGACTCCTAAGTTTACATTATCAAAATTATCTATCATTGTCCCTTCATCTCTGGATATTTAAAGAATATGTTCTAAGTGTCTTCCTGTTACTTGAAGCTTAGCATATAGAAAACTTGGCTTATTTCTTAGTATAAAGGCAGCATTCTTTCCAGTTCTAAATACTATTTAAGGTTTCACCATTACTTCTGATCCCAAGGCTTGCAGTTTCCCCTTTCATTTTACACTATACTCTCTCTAGAAGTGAATTTTATCCATTTGGGGCTCCAATTAGGGAGACACTTTACAGTTTAATTTCTAACACTAATTATATACTCAACATTTGGTCCCATCCACATATCCTGTTACCTGCTTTGCATTTCCCCTCAGACGTCTCTGAGGTGTCACAGGGTCACTGTGACAGGTTCCAAATTAACTTCTCCAGTCATTCCCTAACACACAGGACTTCTCCAGTGTTCTACAGCCCAGGGAATATCAGCACTGTCCTGTGCAGAGAACAAGACAGAAACATAGGGGACTTTCTTGTCTCCATATCTGGTTACAGGACTTGAAATCTTCATGTTTTTCCCCCTTTTTCGTTTCTCTCTCATATCTAATTAGTTTCTGAGTCCTTATTTTCTAATTTTGTAATATTGTCTCAATTCTTTCTTTCCATTCCATTTTCTAGTCATTCCTGTTATTATTTTATTAAATTCCACTTGTTCTTAACTGTTTTCCATCTCATTCAATTCAGTCTACACTTTAAAAAGATGGTAAAGACATTTTCCTCAAATGCAGTTTTTATTACCTTACTCATAAAAGTTTAGCATGGATATTTTATTAGTGCCAAAATTTGTAACCCAGAATTCCAGGCATTTAATTCTGTCAGTATCTCATTCGCCCCATTTTTAATTCACTTTCCAATTTGCTCCTTCCCCTCCATACAAATAAATTCATACATATAACTTCTGGGTATTGAAGTTCTGCTTTTTCTGCTCTTCTGTATCTTTTTTTCATAGCCCCTCACTTCCTTTTTGCCCATCTAATTTATTATATTCTTCCAGATATGGTTAAAAATCACTTCCTGAAAACTTTTCACAGTTAGCATTCTAGTATTTATGGTTTTAACATTACAAGTTTAGACCATCTTTGAGTCGCTTTATTGATTTAGGTTTTGGTTTTTCCTCCCTAAGTTTCTATTTTAAATTTTTCCTGGTGTGTTATTGTAAGATATGAGTTTAGTACCCACAACAGATGAAGTAACTAAGTTCTGAGGTCTGTCTCTACTATAATTGGCACAGAAAATGGTTTACCCTTGGTCTTGAGAGAATGCCTAAGCTGCACTTTTGCTTTAAAAAACCTCTCTAAGTATATCTGGAACATTGTGGCTAAGAAAATGATGTATATAATGACATTTTGTGTGCATTAAACATAAAAGATACATGGTAAAGATTATTAAATACTAATGAAGAGCCATTGTTATTATTCTTTATGTATAATTACCATTTCAGGTTCTAGCTCATTTGAATCTCAAAAAATGGATCGTCCTTCTATTTCCGTTACGTCTCCCATGAGTCCTGGCATGTTGAGGGATGTTCCACAGTTCTTATCTGGACAACTTTCAGTATGTAATCACTAGATTAATTTCTCTTTTTGGAATATCAAGTAGTGTTTTTACTATATGATGGTATTTTTTTTGTAAACCAAGTTCTGTTTAGAATATAATTGTGCTTTTAACCATCAACTTTCTCATTCTTAGTAATTTTAATTAATTTAAATTTAATTATAATTATCTAGCAGAGTGCTTTCTTTATTAGAGTTAGATTTTTCTGGAATTTAATGAGAATTAGAATTTGTGATGCTATCTAAAACCTTTTTCACTTTAGTAATATTATTCCAAAATTCAAAGTCATGATTTTTTGCTCAACTAAGTAAATAGGGAAATATATAATAGATTACTGAGTATATCAGGTAGATTTCATATTAAGTGATCCCTAATTTGAACATTTTATAATAAAAGTTGAAAATTCAGTTAACCATCATATACCCATATTAGAAGAGCTTTGCAAATTCAGGCTCTCACATTTTATTAATTTCTAAAATTTAAAATATTAAAATTTATCCAGCTATATTTTAGAAACAAACAGGTTAATATTGACACTAATTCTGTTGAGTTACTAGACTTAAAATTTTATAAGTATTAAAAGCTACTTAGGTTCTCAAAATTCAGACATTGAATTTTGGATAATTGTTAATGTTATAGTTAAAAACTAAACTATTCTTGGGCTGATATTTTAAGAGTAATTTCTAGCTTTTTGTTAAATCAGGTACAAAATTTCTCCTTTTATCTTCTGGAGGAAGGAGAAGTGTTTGATTTTTCTGAAGAATTTTCATTAACTAAATGGAGATACAGGAAGTATAAGCTGAATTAACATAGTAAAAGTCATTAGACACATCTGTTCTGGGACTACTTTGATCAGAAAAGTGGTAATAACAGAAGAGTTATGTAAGAAAGAAGATGAGATACTATTAGTAGATTGTAAATGTCTTACTAAAATGAATTTCTTCTCTTTATTATTTTCCTTTCCTTTCTCTTTCATAAACAGAGTGAACTTTTTCATTTGAGGACAGTGGTGTTTTTTCCATTTTCCACAATAAGTAGCATCTTTTTATTTATTCTCTTACATATATTGACAGCGCAGATGTTGTCATTTATGGTTACGAATATATGTGTATTTTCTTCCACCATTTTAGAAAGTGCTAATAAATGTTAGCTTTTTTATTTTTAATTGTGGCTCCCTTTAAATATTCCGCCTATAAATAATGCTCTGAGTGGCTGATGATGCCAGTATATAAATAAATTGTGTGTGTGTGTGTGTGTGTGTGTGTGTGTGTGTGTGTGTGTGTAGTTGGCTTCAGTTGGTGGATGAGGGAGCAGAAGTTAGACTTCCATAATAAGTAAGTACCACTTTGTTGCTTCTTTTGAAATCCCAAGGCTGTATTAGAAATTGGACTAGGAGGGGAGATTGAGGAGGATAGTGCAGGCATTTAGACAGATTTCAAATTCAACTACTTTTCCTCATGGTTCAAAGTGAATATGATAGAAAGGTAAGACTGTTAAATATTTGGGGGAAATATAAACTTAAAAGTATGTGGTATTTGTATTTATAAGTGATGTTTGTTTAAAATCCATATAGCTGTAATTTAAAATGAGTACCATTTTATCAATTTTTATGGCTCAGAAGGAGTATGTTCCAGCAAGATAATGTTTATAAATATAATACATATTTGTTTTGGTAAATCTAGAAAGCACAGATAAATAAATAAAAAATAAAAATCACCTGTAATCTTGCCACTAAAACATAATCATTCACATACATATAAAGTTTTAAACAAAACTGTAATAAATCTGTGTATACTATTTTGAAACTTGCTTTTTCACTAGTAATATATTGTGTACTTTTCCTTTAAACATTTTTCTTTAAAAATTCCTCCTAAAATGATTTTAAGAGCTATTTAACATTCCATTTTAACTTAATTTGCTATTATAGGATATCTTGCTTGTTTCTAATTTATAGTATTTTAAATAATGATGCAATGGAAATCCTTGAATATAAATCTTGCATATTTTGTTAGGTTAAAATTCCTTTGTCAGAATAACTTTTCCAGATGTAACAATATGAAAGAAAAGAAAGTTTTAAGATCCTTGAAATCTTTTACCAAAATTTTTCTCCAAAATATTTTTACCAAATTAAGCTACAATTATCAATTCAAGTAATGTATTTTAAGATCTATCCCCATAATCCTAGTAGCTGAGAACACAACAGTGAACAGATAGCCATGGATTTTACCATCATGAAACTTAATTTTATGTTCATTCTTTGCATGCAGCAAGACATAAGCAAGATACCCTTTTGGATATAGTATTTTCCTTTATATTTCCCATTTCTGCCAACTGGAGACAATTTTGGTTTGTTCTAATGATGTAGAGGTTGAGAAAATATTTGTCCACAAATATCATCCTTCGAGGAAACTTCTAGGAAGTCACAAGGCAACATTATGATTCCTATATCCTTCTATTCTACCTTTGGGTATTTCTGCTTTTGGTGAGATTTTACCTGGGCCCTTAGCTCACTTACAAAATCATGACGTTACTAATGCCTGACAACAAAGATAATTTGTATATTATGTGAGCTGACCTTCCTAATATATTTATGTCAGTTCACGGACTGATATTTTCTCAAACATATAATATACATAAAATGCAAATTGTTATTTAAATTTTCATGCACAAGGCTGTTGATGACTTTAAAATAATTATTCCATTTATTTCTTTTCCATGCTTGAATTGTGCTGCTACTTGTTATTATTCTAGGGCATAACTATGAAAGTGCCATTAATGTATTTGGTGAGAAAATTAGTATGAGCTCACGTTTATGACACCTGGACTGTATATTAGCCTTTCAGTGTCAGCACTCCCTTATTTTGATTCTTTTTAAAATTTGTGTTCTAACATAATTTAGCAGTTTTCTTGTTTGGAGGATTACTTTTGTAATTCTCTCAATATTTTAAAATTAATTTACAGCCTTTGACTAATATTTTGATAGCGTGCTAAAATAAGATATAGCCTTTAACTCTTTTCAAAGTGAGGAATGGCTCAGAATTCTTTCTTTCTATAGGAACACATTAATTCTTATTGACAAACATGTTTTATTTTACTTCAGGGTCTGTGGCTGACTTATGGTTGCAATGTTTCCCTAAGCTACTTTGTTTTAATATTTTTCTGACTCCACTTTTAGTGATGAGCTTGTAAATATTGTACATATCCATTTTATATTCCCATTTAAAGGGAATAAGTCACTGAAGAATAGGCATGTGTCCTTTATATCTACTTAGAAACTCGATAGTCTTTTTAAAACTTTCTGTAAATGAAAGGTTTTTCTTTGAGCTTTTATCTTTTATATGTCATTGTTACAACCTTGTTATTTTAGAAGCATTGCATAAAAGGAATGCCCTGAAGTTAGTAGTGCTGTATAAAGTAGGAAGGACATTAAAAATACAAAATAAATTGTGGTGTACAAATTCAAATTCTTCATTTGTGTGAGGCTGAATTGTTATAGATATTATCAGATATTTCATGCTTAAAATAAATGAATTAATATTAATTACAAATTGCAGTGAGATACATAATACTTCACCATTTCTTTATGAAATATCTAGAATCTGAAGAGATAGAAAGCAGCTTAGTAGTTGCCAGAAATTGGGGCAATGGGGAAATGGGGAGTGACTGATTACTTACTAGGTACAGGATATTCTTCTGGTGTGATAAAAAAGTTTTGAAACTAGAGGGAGGTGGTGGTGACACAGCATTGTGGATGCACTAAATGCCACTGAATTGTACACTTTAAAATGGTTAATTGCGTGTTATTTTAATGTCACCTCAATTTAAAATAAGCTGACAAAACAAATTATGTTTATGTAGCCAAGTTTAATGTATAAGCTTACGGGTGAAGATTAGGTTTAAACTGGCATAGATTTTAGACAATTGATTTCAAAAAATCTGTGAGTTGCTCATTTTAGAAGATGCAAAAATGTTTAGAAGATGCAAAAATGTTTACCTTAAAGGATTACTTTATTTCAAAGTACTATTTCTTTCAAAGTAAATCTTTTAGTTATAAAGTAATATTTACTTGCAAAAACCTTTCATTACCTTGATATTTTTGGTCTAAAACAGGTAGGACAGGTGAGAAGGCAAGAAAAATAAGATCTTTTTCTAAATTGAGTGACTTGTTTGTCCTTTTCTTCAACATGCCTAGTTAATCTCTATGAATTTCATATATCCCTTTCCCATTGGCTAGAGAATTATCCACCTAGGGTTATACAGACAGATATCAGTAACACTCCATATCTAAACATTCCTTTCTTCCTTTGGAAATGTCTCCACACAAAAAGGAAGACATCTTAGACTTGGGACCTTCTTGGTTTTTGAAGAGAAAGATGACTCATGATTGAATGATAGTCTGCTTTTAAGGTTTGCTTTCTTTTGGGTTTTAGAGTTATGTCTTAAACTATCTTCAGGGTCTGTCTGATGATCACTGAATTCCACAACAGTCCTCCTAGTACCTATCATCTGTTTCCATGTAGCAGTGGAAAAGTCTGAAGCCTTTAAACTATTTACAGCTGTTAATTAAACAAGAGAGCCATCCATGAGAAATGCGAGGAATGGGATGGAATCTTGGTGAAAGAACAAAGATTAAATGCCCTGAAATCCATTCCCAAACACAGAGACTTGCATCTGATTTTGTTCCTCTTTTAACTGTTAACATGCCTTAATAAAGGCACAACATTCTGATGATTGTGGTATCTTTGGAAACTGTTTCAAAATGAAAACAAAATAAGTTAGAAGAAGAAAAAAAAAGAAATCTGATTTTATTCTAAGAATTTGAAATAAAATGATTTAGTCAGAACTGAGCTTTATTTTCTTTCTTTTTTAAAAAATTTTGGCTGCGCTGGGTCTTTGTTGCAGTGTGCGGGCTCTGTTGCAGTGCATGGGCTTCTCTAGTTGCGGTGTGCAGGCTTCTCTAGTTGCGGCGCGTGGGCTCTAGAGCGCGCGGGCTCAGTAGCTGCGGTGCACGGGCTTAGTTGCCCAGCGGCATGTGGAATCTTAGTTCCCGGACCAAGGATCAAACCCGTGTCCCCTGCATTGGAAGGCAGATTCTTAACCACTGGACCACCAGAGAAGTCCCAGGGTTTTATTTTCTACCTTTACACTGTCTTACTTTTTGGTTGGGTGTGAGCAAGTCTATCTAGTCTTTGTAAAATGTCTCTGTTTCCTCATCTGCATATTGGAGATAACAGCAACTACCTCCCAGCATTGTTAGAGGCAATAAACTTGCAGTAACTCTCAGTAAAGGCTTAAAAAAATATGAAGAACTGTATAAATAAAAAGAAATGTGATATTATTGTCATTAATAAGTATGATTAGCTCTAAACAGTGTTATCTCAGATGGTGCACAATAAATGTCTGAAAATGATGTTTAAATACTAGAGCCTGTTATAGATTCTTAAAGTATGAATCAACTAATTGTTCCAGTGTGTTCCAGCACACGTTTTATCTTTCTGTGTTTATTCTTTTAAGAAATGCTAAAGCCAACTTGGCTAATGTTTTTTAGACTTTTGTTAGCCATATTATCCCTTTGGAAAGTTACATGTATGTCCCTTTGGAAACATTACTTCTACAGATGACTTTTCACTAATGATTCTATAATGTATTTTCATCTGACTTCATCTTAGAATATGATTTTTTTCTATGTTGTGTGTTCAAGGGTGAAACTTGAAATATCTTGACTTTATATTATGTTTACACTCATTCTTTCAGAATATATTAGCCCGAATCTGTTATTTTACATTCAGTCTTAATTCCTGTTATGTTGATTACATTTAAAAATCTGATTTAAATCTTCTAAGATTTTATATAGTTTTTATCTATTTAAGCATTTTGGGAAAATTAATTTATTCATTACATTGAACTACTTAATTTAGATATATATTGTCATGGAAAAATGTACTTAAGGGATAGTTGTATGTGTTTTTTACTTTTGGTCTCTTAGTTCCAGCGTGTTGTCCTTTTTGGTTTTGTTTTATTGCTTTTTTCTTTAATTTTGCTTACCAGAGCCAAAGCCTTAGTAGAAGAACAACGCCTTTTGTTCCTAGGGTTCAGGTAAAGGCCTTGTCTGCCTGATAGAAACTAAAGTTGTGTTTTAACCCTTATTTGTATGTTTTTGGAAAATGCGTAGTAGGAAAACTTTTTTTGGTGTGTTGCTCCAAACCATATTACTGACTTTCAAATCATTTTATGAGCCAGCTTGTAAAATTCTGCATGGGGATTAAAATACAATAAAAATTTAAAGAGACAATCTTTGTTAGTGGTTTTATATGATGGACTGAATACTGAAACTCATAGGTTTCTGGTTGGCATTTAATGTAGATTCCACTTACATTGGTAATATTGACAGAAATAGCTGATTTGATACTGTTGATATTTTCCTTTATTACACTAAGGTTGCTGTCTCTTTAAATCATTCATTATATCACTTAACATCTACATTCTCTTGCATTTTCCAAGCAATAACTCCTTGAGGAGATTGGCAAATAAATTTGTACCTTATCTAAAATATGAATTTTATGCATATTATATGTAAGTTTCAACTTTTTGAAAGTATATTATTTTGAAAGAACAAAAATCACAATCCAAATAAAATATGTTGGGTTTATTTTGTTTACATTTTGTAATTGTAATTCCATTTAATTTTACTGTAATACTTGGGTACAAGTTGTTTGCCTCTTTTCATTAGGAAACCCTTATATGGTAAAGTAATGTCAACAAAGTTTTTTTTTTTTGTAAAGTAGTATTATGCTTTCCTTGCTTTGCTGCATGTTTTTTTTTGGTTGTTGCTGTTGTTGGTTTTTAATACTAATTTCATTTAAATTTTAAAAATTGGAGCTGTTCTAATTAACACTATGTAGTGTAAAATATTTACTTAGACTTATGTTCTGCTTTGGGAAATTTAAAAGTGGTTACATGGAAATTGTATTAAAGCAACTAAAATGATATCAAGATTTTTATTAATGAAAATGAGGTAAAATAAGAAGTATATCATATCTAGAATTGTGGAAACACACTTGTTTTATTTTGAAGAATCAACAGATATATTCTAATCATTCATTTAAAAAACACAGAGAAGATATTTAGGAATGTGATAAAGAATCTAGCAAATAAAATAATTCTCTTTTGATAGTTTAAAGTGGATATCTATTAAAAACTTCAATGCAAGTCCTGTAATATAAAATGAAAATTAAGGCTATTGATCAAATGCCCAGTTTGACAGTTTATTAAAAGGTATAATTTTGATAAAAAACTCAGTAAAATTAAAGTGTGCCTGTTTCATATCTATATTATTTTAATATTTATATATTTGTAAAGTATAATTTAATAAACTGTAAAGTATTAATATGAAAATATGAAAGCCATATGCCTAATATCTGTTTGTGTGAGAAATGAATATTATTAATAAGTGATCGTTTTGGTTTTCCATGGCATAAGAAAATCTAAAAATAATACTATTTATCAGGCATTTGAAACATATATCTTAAATGTTTACCTGTAATGATTTTAAAGAAGCAAAAATATTGCCCGTGGAAATGACGGCAAAGGTAGTCTTAATCCCTGAAAAAAAAAAAAACTCACAGAAATCAATAATTTGCTCCAATAACTATGAGCTTAGTCTAATAATACTTTTTTCTTTGTTTTTTAAATGTACTAGTTATTGTAAAACAATTTTTTAGCCTTTAAGAAGTTTTTTAATATCATGGAAAATAAAGCCATAAGGTTTTTTATTTATATAGAAAATAAAGAATATTAGAAGTTAATGTGGTTTTGGTCACAAATTTAGAGGAACCTTGGTGCTCTCTGACAACACCTGTTTGATCTCATACATGAGACACTCTAGTATTTCTTACTTTTTTTCCTCCCCTCATATCTTTTGCCAGAATGGTCTCTTTTTTCCATTTATCCTCATCTGTATCTTTGTTCTATTGTCAGGCAAGCAAATATTTGAACTTTTTTTCTTTTTTTATAGTAATTAAAAAATTTTTATATTGGAATATAATTTACAATGTTGTGTTAGTTTCAGGTGTTGAACTTTTTTTCCCATTTAAATGTCAGAGGCTTTTTTTTCAGGTTCTTGATCCCCTAGTCTAAGGCAGTGGTTCTCAAGCTTTAATGGCAATGAGAATCACCTGGAGCACTTGTTAAAATGCAAATTCCCTGGGCCCATTCTGATTCAGTAAGTGAAAGGTGGGCCACAGGAATTTGTAACTTTCCAGATAATACTGTTGCAGGAGTTTTGTGAACCACAGTTTAAGAAACACTTGTCTAGAGTCTGTACTTATCAACTGGATTCAAAAAACTTTTTGTTACACAGCCTCAGGGTAATACCTGAGTTAAACATAAGGACTTAACATAAAGAGAAGTAATAATCATTTTAAAAATTTTAATGCTTGAGGACTAATTCCATTTGACCGAAAAGAAAAGCGTATAAATAATTTTATATACTCTTCTGGGCCATTAGTCTTCTGACTTAAAAGTCTTACTCGGCCTCTCATTCTCTAAGATATGAAGTGAGGGACTCAACAAAGCCATGTTAGAATTGGAACTGAACTACTGATATATCATATGTACATATATTTATTTGTATGATTTTTATGTAGATGGTCTATATTTATTTATATATCCTAGAGCCTGGCCCAGAGCTGACTGTCTGCTTTGGAGAAGAGAGGAAGGGACTGACGTGAGATGTATATTTAAGTTTTTTAAACTACTGCAAACATTGTAAATCCAAGTTAAAAGAAAAAAATCAAACCATTGGATACACACACACACACACACACACACATATACACATATAAAATGAAAAATACATATTACCTAAATAGAACTTTTTCCCAAATTCCAAATTTCCGATTCAATTTCAGTTTCAAGATAGTGGTCAGAGATGTGCTGAATTCTGAACCGAATGTGGATCAGAGCCATAGTCATCATAGATCCTGATATGGTAAAATCAACTAGCTAGGTGTGGGAGTGTGAGGTATGTGTGTGGGAGGTGACAATTGTTAAGTCAAATGAATTCAGCAGCTGAATGTGAAGTTCTAATCCTTAATTATGGCATAGGCAAATTATTCTGATTTTCTCATCTCGAATTATAAAATATACCCTTATTATTCTGAGGATAAATACATTTGCTTCACAAACAAAAAAAAAGCCTTTATGTCTGCGTAAGAAATTTTAAAAGACGAATTTATTACAGTTTTAAATACAAACTTAAGGAGTAGATTTACTAAAGCTTCTAGTAATTCCCAGTTACTTATAATTTTTGAAAGGTCTTTGCTGTGGTATAACATAAAACATTTGCTTAAAACTTCCCTATGAATGCCATATAAGGAATTTATCTATTCAATTCATTTTGAGCACTTATTCTGAACTCACTATTGTAGGGGAACCAAAATGAACTACCGTGATTCCTGCATAAAAGTAGACACAAAGCAATCCTATATAAAGTCCTTAGTTATGGTAGTATAATTATTATGTGCATGTTAATAAGCTATCAAGTTAGATTATAAAAAGTTCAAGTGATTTATCAAACTAAAATATCTGAAATAATTTCTCTGTTCATTGAAGTTATTATAGCATATCCTTTTACCTTAACTGCAATTTACGAAGTGAAGTTTATATTCTGTGCTAATATTAGTGTAAGAGAATGGGGCAAAGATTGGGAATGTAAACCTTATGTTATATTAGTAAATGTTTAAACTGATAAATGAATATTTTTGCTTTTCAGATAAAACTATGGTTTGACAAGGTTGGTCACCAATTAATAGTTACAATTTTGGGAGCAAAGGATCTCCCTTCCAGGGAAGATGGGAGGCCAAGGAATCCTTATGTTAAAATTTACTTTCTTCCAGACAGAAGGTAGGGATATGAAACAAAAATAAATGTTCTTGAAAATAAATGAGAAATGTTAATAGCAGGAGGTGTTTTGATTCTGTATCATTTATTTTAAAATGTCATGCCAGTTAGATACTTATGAAGTTTAATATAAGCATAATGATTCTTAAGAATCAAAATAGTGACAGTAAATACTTTAAGATTGTTTTAAAACCTATGTCAAATGTTTATAATATAGATTATTTTATTAAATATTTATTTTAGATTGTGTGGCTTCTTAAATAATGTATTTTTTAAAAATCAAACTCATTAAAATTATGCTCCTTTAAGTCAATACATTTTTTAACATAAACTACAGAGGCAGAAAGCTGGAAATGGTACTAAAGGATACTCATCATGTTCCTCTACAATTTTTACCTCCTTTTACTAAGATATTATTTCTCTATATTATGTAAAATTAGTGAATGTGCTTTATATTTCACCACCCATATCACCAAGGAATCTTTACCACTGGGCCTAGAATCAGCTACCTAAAGTGTCCTTTGCTTTGTGTCCATGCTAATCAACATACATGATACTGATCTATCCTGATTTAAATAGAGGAATCAGGATAGGAGAAATAGCTTATCAAAAATCACATAATCATTCTTAATTTCAGACACATACAAAATAGAAGAGATTATTCAATAAGCATCATGAAAAAAGAAAGAAGTAATGCACCAATTTCCCTTTCCCCAGCTCTTCTGCAACACTGGTTTTCAGGGCTGGGCTGGTCATTTTTCTCAGGTTGGACGCAGCTGGGCACAGATGTGATCTTAAATATATTTATACACGTTTGGACCCTCTATTACTCAGTTCAAGTTAAGTTATCAGTGTTGAGTGCCAAAGTATCATCTGAAGAACAATTTCAACAAAGAAAATAACAAAAGAAAGGAAGTAGGCAATTAGCAAAGGTCTTACACTTTATTTGATATATATTTTGAAATAAAATTTGTAAAATGAATTAGAAAATATGCAAGGGTGCCATAGCCTCTTAAGCTATTAGAAGCTGTGCCATATAATTTTATCTTACAAAGTTGACTCGAAGGAGGTTGTTCTCTAACAACTTAGGTTGTCTTTTGGAGAGGGATACACTTTGAACTGCAAGGGAAGAAGAGGATATGCAATAACTTAACTCAACTCCAGCTTAAACTTCAGTTGGATGACAGATGTCACAGCCATATTACCTACCATCCTGGATGGAGGCCAAGTCACTTGGCTTCTCAGAGCACAGTTTATTAGTCTAAGCATCCTTAGAATGCCATCATAAAATCTCGCAGAAGGCTTCCCTGGTGGCGCAGTGGTTGAGAGTCCACCTGCCGGTGCAGGGGACACGGGTTCGTGCCCCGGTCCGGGAAGATCCCACATGCCGCGGAGCGGCTGGGCCCGTGAGCCATGGTCGTGGAGCCTGCGCGTCCGGAGCCTGTGCTCCGCAACAGGAGAGGCCACAACAGTGGGAGGCCCGCGTACCGCGAAAAAAAAAAAAAAAAAAAAACTCGCAGAAAGTGCTGTGCTTTTATGCACACACATAACTTAAGTTTCTACTTATTCAGACCTTTGAAGAAAAATGCTTGCTTTTCAAGATGATAAAAGTTTCTCAAATTTTTGTTTTTTGGTTGACTACTTGTGATTAGTTTTATTTATTTATTTATTTATTTAAATTTATTTATTTACTTATGGCTGTATTAGGTCTTCGTTTCTGTGCGAGGGACCCCTCCAGTTGCGGCAAGCCGGGGCCACTCTTCATCGCGGTGCGTGGGCCTAGGCTCCAGATACGCAGGCTAACGGGCCCAGTTGCTCCGCGGCATGTGGGATCTTCCCAGACCAGGGCTCGAACCCGTGTCCCCTGCATTGGCAGGCAGATTCTCAACCACTGCGCCACCAAGGAAGCCCTAGTTTTATTTTTTATACCTCCCCTCACTTTCTAAGCAGATAGAAGTCAAATGGAAGGGAAAGTCCCTTCAAAGACTCCTTTATATTCCAGATGTAGGGTTTTTATCTTTTCTCAATAGCAAAGAACGTGAGAAACATCTGGATATTTTTTTCTCAGATTATTTCTCAGCTGCGTTTTCTTGACAGTTATCAGGAATTTGAAGAATATTTAGGCAAGTTTGTAGCTCACTTTATTGATAGAGTTGTGTCAGGGTTTTATCCTTAACGGAAAAAAGAATTCTCTGGTCAACTCAAACAGCTACATTATCACTACATTATCATCTCGACTTTTTTTTTTCTGTTGATACAAGTTTTTACACATGAATAAAGGACTATTTGTGCTTTTGGTATGAGTTATTTCTTTTTTCTTGACAATTTCTTGTGAGAAAAATTACAGGTCCCAAGAAGCCCATGGATACCAAAATCTGCAGTGCTCAAGTTGCTCATATAAAATGACATAGCTCTGCATCTGTGGATACTGAGGGCCAACTGTACTTGACTAAGTAAACAGAAAAAACAGTTGATGCCTTTTTATTGATAAGAATTCCTGGAGGGACAAGTGAGGCTACATAGAAGGAATTTAGTCTAGAATGTCAGTATGTCAGTTAAGCCATTCAAAACATTTATTTTCTATATAATATGCTAGGTACCCTAAAAAATAGCTAGGTATCCTCTAACACTTTTTTGTATCTTTTTTTATTTTGGTTGCCAGTCAAAATATATTTTTCCCTTCATTTTGAGTAAAAATATCAAGTCTTTGCATGCTGTTAAATCAAATGGAAAACAAAAGTACTGGTAACATGAAAATAAATAGAATAAATAAAAAACTTTAGTTAGATTTTTTAAAAATACTTTCTCAACATTTTAATGATGCTGTTAGAGATCAATTATCTATTTTATTATCCTTAAGCTGCTATTTAAAAATATCTCTATAGCATGCTTACTGATCTTAGTTTTTAAATAATTTTAGCAACTTTTCAGTATTTGACTTATACAGAATGATCTTATTTTGAAGGCTTTAGTTATACTTCTTGAAAAGAATAACTCATTTACTTTTTTTTTGTAACTTGCTGAAGGTAAGATAACTTTCCATGGTTATTTTCATGGATTGGTGCTTCAATACACACAAAATTGCCTTATTAAATTGTAATCATATAAGGTAGGTTAGTGAGGAACTTCAGAGATAATCTAGTCTCCCTCCTATACAGGATTAGAAATCCCGCCTAAAATAGTCATTCTTTGAGAACTTTTTTCACTCCTTAAGAGGAAGTCAAAGCTTATTCTTCTGTTTCCTTTCACGTTGCAGTATAAACCATTCTTGGATTAGATGGCAAGGTTCCCCCTGAATGCTTTCTTCCTGACCTTGGTGGAAGGAATTTTATCTCTGACAGGGTTTCATAGTTCATTCTTTAATGGATAGAATATAAGTAGATGCTTTATAAATATTTCTTAAAATCTTAGAAGGAGGAAGTGACAAGAGTCATAAGTCATAGTCCTTGTCATTATTTCTCTTATTTTAGGTATTTTTATTTGCAGTACCACTTTTTCATAAATTTGAATGGAGATAAAATTTCCTACGTGGGTTTCCAAAGTTATTTTCCTATGGAGGCCTTAGAAATTAATAAAGATACATTGCTTTAAAATGGCTTTCTGCTACATTAAATATATATGCTTTGGAAACATACATGTTCTTGATTCAGTCAAATCTGTAGTAAACATTAAACTCTGTATTCACCTGGGAGAAGTTGCATACTCTCCCTAATTTGGAGGCACTCTGTCCCTTCTTAGTTCTCCCTGCTTCCTATTTCCCAACACTCTTAGAACTGTGCTGTGTTGAGAGAATTTGTAGAAGTTAATATGGTTCCACTTGGAGTTCACTGGCACTTCTCACTTCAAATAGGCTCTTCTAATAGCTTAACATTGCCGTCCTAGATGATTTTCTTCATTCCTATTCAGACACTGATCCTCTCTAATAAGCTAGAGTAGTGATCTCCAAGAAGAACGGATGTACCCAGGAGATGTATGAAACAATTCATTGGAGTTCATAAAGAAATACTTGAATTTTCATTTTCACCTATCTTTAATTTCCTATTTTTGTATATTTACCAATGAATACAATATATTAGTACAACAATATAGTAATACATACATATAATTTATAAATATATTTATAAGTATATGTGTATACAATGGAATGCATAATCAAAAGCATTCACTTGATAGAAATATGAAGTCAAAAAGATGTATGAAAGCTTCTGAGTTGGAAGTTCTGTCTATCAGGATGGCCAGCTTGCATTTCCAGCCCAGATTATAGCGGCTACCTCACACAGAAATAATTTTACTAAGTCTTTAAAGACTTGATAGATGTCAAATGAGCAAGTATGTATTAATTATACATAAGTGAGTAACTTGATAAGATGTTATTACAGTTGCTTATTAGCTAAACTATATGGATGTAAAGTTGTGAACATCGCAATTCACTAAACTTATTGTACAAGGGACTTCTGTTAGTTTAAGTGAATAGTATATTGGTTACAAATACTAAGTACAGTATTTGCATTTGCATATGTACAAATACTAAAAGTAATACTATATGTAACTAACAGGTTAATTTCCAATTTAAAGGTTTCCAATAGGGCAATGTGTTAAAAAAAAATTAGAGTTAAGATTCTTCAGTCTGGTTTTATTTAGAATTTGAGAAAGGTTAAGTTTTTAATTATCTATCATGGAAAATTTTCAGATTTATTGAAATATTTCTATTATTAAGTCATACTTATAAGGTGATATAATTATATACCTTATAAATTTTAATAATAATTTTAAAGATTACAGTATATTTAAGGTATGATAAATTTGTGGGAAAACTTCACTTGACTTCTTTCCTGAGAAATTTTAAATTAATAAATTTTAGGGCAAAAGTTAAAATGAAGATTTATATACGCTCATATATTCTTATTTTTTTCATAGTGATAAAAACAAAAGAAGAACTAAAACAGTAAAGAAAACATTGGAACCCAAATGGAACCAAACATTCATTTATTCTCCAGTCCACCGAAGAGAATTTCGGGAAAGAATGCTGGAGATTACCCTTTGGGATCAAGCTCGAGTTCGAGAGGAAGAAAGTGAATTCTTAGGAGAGGTATCTGGAACTATTTTAAAGCTTAGACTATTCATGTCATCCTGAATACTTTTGTTTATATGACTATCAGTAAAATATTATATTTTGAATAACTGAAACACCTAGACATAATTTAACAGAATGAATTTAGCTGCTGTTTTAAGAAAAAACTTATTGATGCCTCTATAGTGCATGTATTTCCTTTCAGTTTACTGAACCAATTGTACAACTAGTAATTAAATCATTTATTTATAGATCAGTTTTTCAGCCCTGTACTGTATCTGTAATGTGCTAGGGGCTGAGGTGTCAAAGGTCAATAAGGTATATTACTTTCTTCAAGGAAATTATAATCCACTGGGATACACACAAGTGAGTGAACAATTATAACATAGTATGGCAGATGCTCTTTCAGGGAAGTGCAGTAGGAATACATAATTGCTGTGCAGGGAAGGGGAAGTGGTCCATGGAAGGATCCACAGAGAAACTGGAATTTAGCATAGTCTAGGGAAGTAAAGTTCCTGCAGAGGGAATAACAAAATACTAGAGTTGCGGGGGTCTTGGACAACTGCATTGAAATGGGAAAAGAATGTGGCAAGAAATGAGTCTTGAGGGTTAAACTGACACCTGATCATGTCCCTTCATATATCATATTAAGAGTTTGGATTTTATCCTGTAGATAATGGGAACAAATGACAGGTTTTAAAGAGACTGGCTTGATTGCATTTATACTTGAGAAAAATATTTCTAGCTGTAATGTGGAGAATTAATTGGAGAGGGGTGGATGAGAGGCAGTTTTCCCACTATTAACGTGCTAAGAGAACTGCTTTCAGTTTTTCAGTGTGGTTGGTTTTCCTGAGTAAATTAAATGTAATACCATGGGAAAAGCAACAATCCATAGAAATATTGAACTGAATGTTGTTAGCTAAGGAATCAAAGAGTGGTAAACCAGTTGGACAGAAGGGTAACATGATGACTAGGAGCAGAGATTATGGTTCTGCATTCCTGACACTACTACTTCCTGGCCTTGGTCCTTGAGCAAGTTATTTAATATATTTGTACTTTAGTTTCCTCTTCAATCAAGTGAGAATGACAGTAGTATGCAATTCAGGGTTAGAGTGAGAATTAAATGTGTGTGTGTGTGTGTGTGTGTGTGACCATTTGGAACACAGTGCTTATAATTTTGAAAATGACTAGGGAAAATTTAGGAAGAATGAAGAGTACCTTAGTTGTTTTACATTTTTACCTCCCATAGCTAAATAGTGATTTATCATTATGTAACAGTTCTCATATACTTAAACCAGACACTGTCATATTTGCACATGACTTTAAAAGAAAATAAAAAGAATCATTTATTTCTATGGACTGATTTCCTTTGTAAATTTATTAGATATACATATTATAACATGGTTCATATTGAAAATCCATTCTTTTTTTTTTCTTTCCTTTCCTGTTTTGAATCCTTAGCAGCATGATATGTTAAACAGAATTTTAAGTAAGACAGCCTTTGACTTATATTATGGCTCTTTCACTAACCAATGATGTGGGCTTAAACAAGTTTTTTAACCTTTTTCAGCCTTGGTATCCTTATTTGTAAAAGTTGAATAATAAGACCAACCTAGTAGTTTTTTCCTGAGAATTAAGATAACATATGACATGGTTCTTAACACACAGTAAGCACTTCTAATTTGTTTTTAATCTCTGCATTTCAGAGTTTGTAAAGGTTAAATTAATGAATGTAAATGAAAATGTTTTTTAAACTGTAAAATGGCATATATATACCAGTTATTATTACAGACTTTTAGTAGTAAGTGCTATTTATGTAATGGCATATTTAACAGCCTGTAGCAGATAGGTGTTCAAGGGTCTACAAAATAAATGTCTTAGATATTCAAAGCCATTAACTCAATAAGAAGTTATATATACTTATCTCTTATTTAGTTATTGTCAAACATATGGGCAATTCTGCAGCATAACCTTGCTTTTGACCTAATAGCATTACTATTATAATTATCATTATTATAATGAAACCATTTAAGAGAATTTCTATATTATTGTCATAAGACAGTCCTTTGTCTCTTGGCTTTGTAGATTTTAATTGAATTAGAAACAGCCTTATTAGATGATGAACCACATTGGTACAAACTTCAGACCCACGATGTTTCTTCATTGCCACTTCCCCACCCTTCTCCATATATGCCACGACGACAACTACATGGAGAGAGCCCAACACGGAGGTTGCAAAGTAAGTTTTCAGTAAAATTTATTGTGCCTTTATTGAATTATCTTGAATGATATATATGACATAGAATTTGAAGATACCATTATGGGTACTAACAGTCATCTGTTAGTATTTTCATAGCTTTTATTGAAGCTTTTAAATTGTTTGATACACTCAACTGTATACATGTAGTATTCACTCATCACAGTATGACACACAATGAAGCATAGTTATGTTTTAATTTTACCTCTTAGAATCTAAAATATAGGAATGAGATAGCTAATGTAGTAGAATTTGGTGATGTACCTGTAGATATCTGAAATTATGATTTCCACTGTCATTAAGCCAAGTATTTTATGAATATGTAGGATAACAAGTATAGCATAGTGGTTGAAACCGTGACCATGAACATTACTCAGACAAACTTGAGTGTAAATATTAATCCTCTCACTTAAGAGTTGTATGGGGGCTTCCCTGGTGTCGCAGTGGTTGAGAGTCCGCCTGCCGATGCAGGGGACACGGGTTCAAGCCCCGGTCCAGGAAGATCCCACATGCCGAGGAGTGGCTGGGCCCGTGAGCCATGGCCGCTGAGCCTGTGCGTCCGGAGCCTGTGCTCTGCAACGGGAGAGGCCACAACAGTGAGAGGCCCGCGTACCGCCAAA